GCTCTGTGACTTGTGAATAATGCTGTCCTTCTCAGAGTATGCTAGTAAAACATTTATACTGTGCTACCCCGATTGTGTAGGGGACATACTTGCTACATGACAGCTATTTTAAGGTGGTGTTGAATCTCAAAAAAAAAAAAACTCAAAAAAAAAAAAGAAGGAAGAAAAAAGGGAGGGGGAGGACATTTCTTGAATCCCTCAGATCATACATTCAGATCATAACTCAGCCTGACAAGGATAAAGAAGATAAAATCCAGGTGCCTCAAACAGTTTCTCGACTGCAGCAGTCCTCCTAGGGCTGGAATTCAATACTGGGTTTCATTGGGAGGAGTGGGAATCTCCCATTTCTTGCTTGCTGCATCTGTGAGTAAAGCCTGATATTTCGAAATCCAGCCCCAGATTCAGTGAGCCATGCTGGAGCCACTGAATCATACCTAGTGCAGACAGCAGGCCAACATATTTTCTCTTATCTGGAAGAGAAACTCCTCTTTTGGAAGAGGCTCCTTTTTTTCCCCAGAGACTAAATTTAAAAACCAGCAGCTATTTGCAGCTTTTCTATATTTTATTAAAATAAACCTTAAAAAAAACACAGAGGTGATTAGGTATGTGGGGAAAAAAAAAGAAGCATTCATCATGCAGTTCAACACTTCAGCATGATAATCTCAAATTTGGGGTACAGTCACCCTCTCTCCCCCAGCCTAAGAACAGCTACAGAATAGTCAGGCTGGAATGTTTATTTATTTTTAACACAATGAGATGCAAAACCAAGTAAATAACATATAAGCTCAGCTACATTAATTTCCAGGACAGGACTGTGGTTATATAACAAAGCGTGCAAAATATTTAGCTTTTTCCAAAATTCACCTTCCTCCTAAGCTGTTTGTTCCTTAGGCTAAGAACAAAAGAGATGCCAAGTCTTTGCAGCCTGGAGAACCATTTATACTCTTCGTCTTTGTAGCAACCTTTTCCATACTTGATATAATTATAATGGCTCCCCTTCAATTATTTCTTCTCTACATTGAGCAAACTCGTATCTTATGATCTTTCCTCCCTATTCATGCCAGGACAGCTTTTATGCAAAGGTGCAAACCACCGCATACATGTATTGCAAGCTCTAGGCTTTCAGGGGCTCTACTGTGGAATAGCTTCAAAACACCAGACATGGGCATCTGGCACAGCCGCTTCCTCACTGCCTCAAGGCCGATGCTCAGATAAGAAAGGAGCACATTTGGCAGGGGAAAAAGATTGGCATGTAGAAACTAATGTGTGACTGAGCAAGGGCGGGGGAGTCCGCACAGGAAAGTTTAATATTAAAGAGAGGCACGGAAGCCTGCGAAGTCTGGGGAGCCACGTGAAAGGCAGGTGCCTGTCCGGGCACGCAGACTATCAGAGAAAGGATAGGAGGCACAGCGCCATAATTACGCATCTTCTTGTGACTGCTGTGAATGCTGCCAGGAGCCAGCATGCTGCAGCTCCGAGCTGATTGCTCTCTCAAGACAAGTTGCAGAGTGCTGAGCGCCCAAAGGCGCCAAGGCAAAGCACGTGAATCAGCAAGGGGCATGTCAGTCCCCAAGCACTGCTGTGGTAAAGAATTATGTCAGCCCAAGACAAAAGCAGAGACACTCCTTTGTTTATAAACACACCAGAGACAAGCAGGCTATTGTGGAAAGTCGTTTTATTTCAGAATTTCACACACACTGTCACAGACCATGCACTTAGACTTTCCCCTTTGCAAATCCACAGCCTCCAGGCCTGGAAGAGATGGGGCATCATCTCTTCACTTCTCACTGCAAGTACCCACATGCTAAGAGTGAGGGCCCTGATGGCAGCTTGCCAGGAGGCAGAAAGCAGCCTCTTGTTTCCATAATTGCTCTTAAAACATAGAAAAGAAATCCATCTCCCTTGAAGGATTAGCAGTGGAGCTCAGCAGCAGTGAAACCCCACAGCTGAGCAAGCTGGTCCTCACCCTGTGGTTACAGGGAACAAGACAACAATCTTGTGGGAAGCTTGCATGAACTAAGTAAGCTACAGCAGAACACACCGAGGCATTCTTGGGGCCCAGGCAGCAAACCAACCAAATGTATGCTCTGGGCCTCTTACAATCAATTTGTCTCTGAGCCGCTCTGCAAGGAAGGTGGCCGGGAGCTGCCCTTTTCACATTCAGCTTTAGGTCCTCCTGCTCTGCGCTACAGCTTCGACTAGGAAGGAGCTGACTTACAGGTAAGACAGCCCTCCAGGCTGTACATCAACACGTGTACTGCATTTAATATTGAAAGGTGCCAGTTTGAAAGACTTTGCATACTTAGCCTACTCCTTCTCCCCTTCCTCTGTTGCCCCTTATACCTGACCCTGCTCTTGAAATACTCCTAGTTGCAGTGTCCCTGTGACCCATTATATCTTTGGCCTCTGCTGAGACTGCCACTACCAGAGCAGCTGTTGCCCGCTGTGGTGGCTGCCTGTAGGAAGTGAGCATTTGCCTCCTGAGAACGGGCTTGTGGCTACCTCAGCGGAGGGCAAAACTGACGGGAAAAAATGATTAAGTGATTCAAGTGAAGTGGAGCAAAGTCTACAGAAAAGGCAAAAAGGCAGCTTCAGTCTCCATTTGATACACAAATTGAGCTCAATAGCAGCAAGAAGTGGCCATAAAATATTAATTCATTAGGTTGCCAGGAAAAAGTAAAAGCATTCACGTAAAAGATTCTCTATAGATATGTGGCAACCGTTCTCAAGCCAGCTCAGACAGTGGCTTCCTCTTGTGTGTGTCTCCCCTTTCTTGTATCTATAGTTTTGATCATTCCAAACCATGTTGCTGCTCAATTCTGCATGAAGACCATGGTATTGTAGTCAGCACCAAATAAGGGGTGAGATCACACTGAAGAAATGAACTTATGGAGAAGTTCTGACAACCCAGATATTTTAATATTTTCATTGACCTTCAAGTAATTAAAAGAAAGTCTCCAAGTCTCATCTGTCTGCTTTTAGGGTAGGAAGGCTGACATCAGAATGGCAGTGGAGGGCAGAGAAAAAAATCTGGGAACCAGAGCGAAGAGCAATCAACAGCTGACCAACACTGACTGCTGCAAAATTTACAAAACACAAAATCATACAAATGGGATTTCTGCTAACCTTTTATAGATTACAGACTTTATATACACACACAAACTTCAAAGTACGCACCTGGCAGTCTAGAAAATACCAGTACCCTAAGGATTAAATAATTTAAAATGCAATGTTGCGTTATCACTGTATACAGAATACTATCTGATACATTGGCTAAAACGGACGGATTGTTGGAGAAAGATGCTCCCTCCCTCACCTCACCAGCACTGCCTCTAAAAACAAACAAGGGCTGAAGACTCCCCTTGGTGGTTCCACTCCCGAAACTCACCTTGAAACTTCTCTGTCAAAATGGGAGGTGGGGAAGGAAGAGGGAAAAGTCCTGAAAGGAAGGGAAGGGAAAAGGATTCCTACTTCCTCCAAACCTTACTGCTGCAGTGCCCCTCTCCATCGGCCAGGGAGGCTGTAACAGCAAGTGGAAAAAAGGTGCTAAAGCTGGTAAAAGGCAACTATGTTTCTGTAATGATACCTGCACTGTTCTTTTGAGAGACACAGCCTCAGACTCACCGCCCCTCCCCGTTTTTGAAGACAGGAGGACAGAAGGCTTAATGGAGAGTACAGAGTCTACATGGCTAGTTTAGGAGATACCAACAGTGCAACAGCTGCCCCCGAAACTCATACTGCAGTCCAGCAGCAGACAGGAGGGCAGCCAAGGGAGAACGGCCTGACAGCAGCCATAAACAGGAGCAGGCAGAAATGTATTACCAACAGGTCCAAACAGACAGAATGGGAAGGTGTGCCCTCACCAGCTTTCTAAGAGGAACTGTAAACTGGGAGCACTGGAAAGTCAGCGCATGGGAATGAGGAAGGGAATGGAGAGCCTCAGTTTTGAGGTGGCTGGGGACAGGACTAAAACACACACAGAGAGCAGATGGCAAAGCCAACATATCTCTAAATGCCAGCTCTGCATATGTACCCTAATATCAGTGTACAGGACAGAACCTTGCTGATGACACCAGTTCAGTCCTATCACCTTCACGGATCTGTAGCTGGTGAGAATCTGGCTTATGTGTGCTTATTACAAAGCCCTTTGAGGCATGCAGTCTTGCTTCCACGTCTTCTAAACCAGAACAGCCATAAGCTCATGGGGAAAAGATGAAAAAAAAGTAATCCCTTTTCCCATGTGTGTCTCCCACCCTTCCCCCATCAGCAGCCTCTCTTCCTTTAGGCCAGAGACATCTAAGGAGCTGCCCTGTTCTCCATTCCCAGGGCCATTCCCACCAGCAACACCCAGCAGATCTGGCTAGGCAGGAATGGCAAGCCGTGCTCCTTTGGCCTCATCACATAGCCACTCCACAAAGGTTTCTTCCTCCCCTGGGACAGCTTCAGTGCGAATTGCCCATACTGGAGGTTGTGTTGTAGCAGACTGGACAAGCCTCCCAGCTTGCAAAGGATGAGAAGGCTCTGTAGGACCAGGACCCATGGGCATTCTCCAAGCTCTACAGCCCTAAATACTGCTAGTGTAATCATTATCCACTCAGAAATACAAAAAACAACCCTATTCAAAATATCTCACTCAGTCTGCCCTGCATGACTGGGTCAAAGGGACCAAGAAAAAAAAAGATAAAAAAAAAAGAAAAGAAGAAAAGTGAGATAGTGTAGTACAGCAGAGAAAGAGAAACATGGGGCAAAGACAGACCGGAAGAAAGGAAAGAACCTCAATGCAAGTCTGCTAAAACTGTCACTGGATTTACCAGCCCAGTTCCACCTTCTTCAGACCAAAATGTACTCACTGCAGTAAGTGTGCTACAGGAGAAAGAAGTGCATAGTTTTGGGATTTTTTTGGTAGACACTTAAACAGCAGAATTTATGCAAAGATCTTAGAGCTGCAATTTTAGCCTCTTTTCCCTAGTCAATGGGTACCTGTGGGGGCAGAGATGGTGGAAATGGACCAGTGGCACCAAGAAATTCATTGGGAGCACCAACTCCACAGCAGGAAATAATAACGAACCAAAAGGAGAAGACAGACACAGAAGTGGACGAGACATATTTCGCAGTAATCAAAGTCCACCTTGGCTAAACCCTATCAACACTTCCCTAGGTAAGGCCCCATTACGTCTGCAGCAAGACCTCTGGCTCTGACAGAGAGCTGTAGAGGGTATAGCCCAACTCATCCACTTCTTCAGGGGTGAGCTCTGAAAACAAGTTCACTTTGGGGTTCAGAGCACTAGGGAGGACACCTGCCTCCAAGTAGTGGATCAACCCCTTCAGCGCCTGCAAGAAGCGATCAGCCAGCATGTCCTGGGACCAGTCAGACTCTTCTTGGGATAGGTGCAGGATGACATTGGTGAGCTGGCTGGCAGTGAGGTGACCCAGGGCTGGGTTTGACTTGCATACTGCTTTGAAGATCTTCAGACACAAGCAACGGCAGCCAGAATCACACTGGTCCAGGGCCCGGAGGCGAGCCGTTTCTGCTGGCCGCAGGCTCAGTCGCCACAAATTGTCATTCTGGGCCAATCGATGGGGTTTGGCCACAAGGATGATGTCACCCAGTGTCAGGGATGGTAAGAAGTCAATAAAAAGATGCCGTTCTGGATCATACTGGACTTCTAGTGTCAAATCTGCTGGGGGAGCTGCTGGACGGATCACATAATCCAAGAGAGACCCAATTGCTGGCCAGTTGATGGAGCCAGCTACAACTTTCTCAAAGGTGTCTGCTACAGCTTTGGGGGAAAGGTAACCTCCCACCACACAGCGGTCCCAGTAGCTGCTCCCACGGGGAAAGTACTCTGGGTTTTCCCGACGCACCAAGTAGAAGCCAGGAATGTTCATGATGGTGTCCTCCCCAGGGATGCAGGACCACAAGTTCTGCTCCAGCATCAGAGGCACAATGAGCTGGATGTGGTCAGCTGTGACTACCTTTCAGAAGAGAGAAAAGTCAGTAAGAACAAGCTTTCTCTCTCTACGCTGTTTTATTCACCACCTTCAGATAGCCTTCTGTTCAAAGGAACTTGGAATTAGAATTCAGCTGTCTCACTCTCCTCTCTGCATGGGACTCAGCCTCCCTTTGTCAAAAGACATTCTGAAGGACTATTTCCCATAGTTAGTGGGATAGCTCCAAGGTATAACCCAAGCTAGTGCTTATACGGTATGTGCTATTTAGAGACTTCAGGACCTGACATGGACTGCACACAGATGAATCATTCTGCCTCCTATCGCTGTAAGTTCACTCCTTGGACCTGCGATGCAGCTGGCCCAGGGCACAGCAACACCACATGATAATTTAAAACAGGAGGCAGAGTATTAAATTTCTAGATGAGCTTAAGTTGCCATGGTTTAATTATCCCATGCTACAACTAGGTACTGCCCTCACCCGGTCTGACACATTGTTTGGAAAAAGGTCACTAAAGATCCCTTTTCACCAATGCGATTAAGACCCCAGATCTAAATTTCACCGGACACTCGACACTCCATTCCAGAGCTCTGACTCAAAAAAAGAAGTGTGCCTCTGAATCACTCACTATAGCCATGGGCATCTTGCCATCAGGGAGACATGCAGCAGGGACTGCTGTCCAATCCAGGTCTGTCATGCATTAAAAAAAAAAAAAAAAGAAGACCTACATGAATACATAGGAGTTCTAAGGGAATATCATGTATTTGGAAAAAGATAGAAGGGACAGAGAGAAAACAGAGGTCTACTGGAGAAACAGCAAGAAAAACACAGCTAAAGGGAGAGACAGAGGGGAAGGAAAGAAGGGCCAAGATAATCTGGAGAAATAAAACGGCAAAAAGAAATGCTTTGCAGACAACGCCAGAACAGCCTGGTCACGCCTGTTCAAACAGTACTGCAGAAATCAACACCTGGCTCCACAGTGGGAAAGGTGACACCAGGAACCTTATTACAGAGGAATGTTGTGCTGAGCCAGCACTGCCAACAGGGAAGCCTGAAATGCCCCTGCCTAGTCAGCCTTCTGAATAATGACCCATCACGCGGCTCCAGGAATTACCTGCAGATCATCATACAGGCTGCCGCTGAGGTACATGTCACGCAGGGGCATGTCCGGCAGCTTGGCACGTAGGAAGCTGCGCAGCTCAGCACAGATATCCACGGCTGCTTGCTTGGCCCGGGCCTGCTCATCCGCTGGGATTGCTACCTTCCTCCGATAATAAGCAAATAGCTTTTCTTGCAGAGACAGACGAAGGCGGGATTTTTTCAGCTCCACTTGACTCCTCTTGGCAGATAGCTTGGGCTTTGTGGGTCGGAAAAAGTCTGCAAGGTAGAAGGAAAACTGTTGATCATCTGCAGTGTTTCACTGTGAACTGATCCACAGAAGAAAATCTGCAGCACGTAAGTGCAGCCTCCTAGGTCTCAAAAAGCTTTCAGCAGACATTTTGCATGCTTCACACAGGTACCAGGCAAAAGGGAGGTGCCGAGAAACTTAAAGATACTACAAGAATCGAAATGGAGGAAAACAAGTTACTAGATTTAGAATTTAGCCAGAACAAGACTAACATTGTGTACAAGGAAGTAATTTTAATGGCTACATGGGCAGTACCTCAGTTCAATTTCATCAAAAATTCAGCACTGTAACCAGTTCAGAAGCTTTCAACATGATGCCAGACCAATGAATAAAACACTCTTGAACAACCATCACGATCTCTTTAAGTTTTTAACATTATAATGGATTTTTACAAATTATCAGCAAAACCCAGCCCTGACTAGGGTATGAGATCAGAGAAGATCATGCCACCTGGAAATGAAATAGTTGTTAGGAGTCTGATCAACACGTATCAGGGTGGTGAGCTGACAGATCTCAGGCAATCATAGCCCCAGTGAAAACCTCCCTCAAACTTTCACTGGTTGAAGAACAGAGAGCACACTCAGGCACGATACAGCAATACAACGCTTTACACTGCCATCTGCGTTATTAAGCAATGTCTAACCTTCACAGATCCTCTAAGCTCTTTTTTTTCTGACTGGTTTCCTAAAGAAATAAGTCAATGCTTCCCATCTATCTTTCAGACTTCTCTTAATAGGGACCAAGAGTTTCAGAAGTTATCAATGAGGATTAAGGAAGAATTGCAGATCTAAGATCTTTGGAAGGGCTGTGGTACTTAACAGGTGCAGGAGAAACTCCCAAGTCAGTGGCCCCATTCAGGCAATCAGCTGTTGCAATTTGTTTGGCAGCAGGCATTTGGCAGTGAAGCATGTGCAAAATGGCTGACCAGGCTGCACACAGATGCATTTCACCCAGCCTCAACAGCTGCTGTCTTGTCCCACTGCGGTCTTTTGGACAGATTTGAGGTTTTGTGTAAAAAGGAAATAGCCCTCAAAACCATAGGGAACCAGACTTCATTGCCTGCTCATGAAAAAATTTATTTTTCCATCTAAAGTTTTAATTTATTTTTAGGTCAAGAATGCAAGACGCCATGATCAATGGTTTTATTCCTCAAGTCTCATCTTTGGAGATTCCAATCAAATGATCTAGACCCCATTTAACACAACTGTCTAGTTAATGTTTCCTCAGCAGAAAATCCACTGCCATCCTGAAACTGACTTTCTTGCAGAGAATCTGGAAATCAACTTGATCCCGATTTTTATTTTAAATCTCCAAGTGTAAATATCCTGAAGTCACCAGGGATAGAAAGTAAAACTGGTGAGAAAAACCAACCAAACACATATAACAAACACTGACAGACTCTATATTACTCATTATCCCACTCAGAAAGAAGACTGCAGGTCACTTTTTGTAGTCTGCTAAGGACTAACTCAGTGATAAGCAGCACTAAACAGGCAAGCAGCATTACACAAACTATTAGGAAAATGGTAGAAATAACACAGAAAATACTGTTACAAATTTCTAGTATGTTCACAGTTTGAATATTCCCCTTGTAAAAAGGCAAAAATAAACTAGAATGGTCCAAAGATAGCCAACAAAGAGCTTGAAAGGAATGGAATGGCTTTTTATCAGGAAAGATTGCACAGACAAGTATTCAGCTTGAAAGAGTAAAGGCTGAGGGAGAATAAAACTTAAGACCATGAAGTCACGAGAAGAATTAAGAGTGCAGATGACTATTATTCACTAGTTCCCAATCTGACTTCTAATTCTTGAAGTTACCAGTAGACCTATTTAAAAGAAAAACATCAAAATCCTGGGTTAGACAGATTATTCTTTTTCCTGCATTCCTTTAAATGAATACAGGGTTTATGGGCCTAGATGATTCTGTAATGCAGGAGTATAACCCTGCTTCCTACCTGTGTCTGAAGCCAAAGGATCAGTGGGAAGGGTCTGCAGGGAGCGGCTGAGGTTAGTCTTCATGTCCTGGGTCAGTAAGCGTGAGGAGGAGCCCAGCCAGTTTGGCTCTTCCCAGCTTCTCTTTCCTGACTGGCTCAAGCGAGTGGGGCTGCTGGGAGCGCTGATTGCCCGGTCATACATCTAAAGCAACATCACCAGGCACAGTTTGAGTCATTAAGAGCCCAAGACTTGCATTTTACCCAGCCTAATGCCAGCATCCCGGGTCTTTTTGTTTCCCACTCTTTTCCAGTGCCTCCATGCTCAGGTCCCACCCTGCTGTCCCAGATGCTCACTCACCCTTTTGACGGCCAGTGTGGCGATGCCCAGCATAGCAGCTCCACCCACGCCCAGCACAAGCCGGGCGTTGGACAACACGAAGTCAATGGCTGTACCAATGCCATTGTCATCTTTTTTCCCTTTGCGCTGCCCAGCGCCTGCCATCTCACCTGGAAGGAGCAGGAGCATTAAACAAACGGGTCAAAACATGCAACCCTAGCAGTTCACTCCCTTCTCCTCCACCCCATGCTCATGGCTCTTGGGGTCTTAGCACAGAGCCATAGGAAGGGGCTGCCTAACCCTGCAGCCTCTTTATTTATCTTCCCTTGAGGAGCTGTTTATTCCCAGACATGCCAGAACAGTCCTGACCCAGGTCTGCAATCACAGCATTTCTTTGCTTCCAGCTCCATTTATCACCTGATGAAAAACATCCCGAATTTGATGTGGGGCTTCTAATCATTGAAGCAGGTTTAATTGTGCAATCACCTAATTATTTTTTTTTAAAGAGTAAGATTAACTTAAGCAATATTTTTCAATAAAATTCTGTATATTATGTAAAACTCCATGACCATTCAGGTATTTTCCTTTTAATTTGTGTTTCTCAATCAAAGCACACCTTTTTTCATGCCAATTTATTTTCTTATTGTCAATCTTATGCACATAATTTTGCTCACAGACAAGGCGATGCAGGGATGGTCAACTGCTTGTCCATAACACAGCAGAATCTTCCCAAGAATTGACAGGCAGTCTCAGAGCCTCCACTCCCAGACTCATTTTTGGACAATGGCTGGTCCCAGATACTTCAAAGACACCCAAGAATCAACAGTAGAGACCACAACGCACCACAAAGGGAACAACTCCCTTGCTTTCACTGGACATTTATTCCTGCCCTCAAGGCTGGTGGGTTTGACTCTCATACAAGTAATGTATAACATTAGTATTTTCTTACACATGTACTTTTGTTTTCTCCAATTCCCATTTAACCTGATCTTGATATTATTGCCAACTGCACGCATAAAACACACTTTGCCACTGCTGTACCTATAGGTAGATCCTCAGCAAATCTAAATGAAAATACAAGGAAACTCCTCCAACCTGACTCGAGATCTGTTTTCTCAGTTGGTTTCAAAGGTTCTGAGCCTGCCTGACTTGGGTGGTTTAAAACCACCCTTAGGTTTTTCTAAGGCCAAGCTACAAACTCAGGAAAAATGTTTTTGCTTTGATGAACCAGGAATCCAGTCACTCTTCATCCCTACGCAGAAAAATATGCACTTTCACAAAGCTAACTGTAATAGTAGTGTGAAGAACATGGTTACATCATTGTAAATGACCTACCTGTGATCTAATGCATTTGTGAAGAGAACAGGACAGCTCTCCTGGTGTGCCTGTGGAAGCACCTTCTGGCTTTCTTCAAGACAGTGGTGGGGAGGGAGTGTTAATCACCTCTTTTGGTTGGTACAGGGATTTTGGACAGAAAAGAGAAATAAGTGAGGCCAAAAGAAGCTACAGGGAACTTCTAAACCAGGCCCCCAAGTTTGGACTGCAAGAAAGCTTGTCCCTTCTCCAACTGTCTTTCCTTGTCCTCCAGCTGCTGCAGCCCCCGGTTCTTGCGGAACTCACGGCGGACAAAAGCGAGATAGAAATCCCGGTCAGTGTAGCGCAGCACACGGCCCTGGCGCAGCAGAGCCCGATAGAGGGTCAGGACAGCCTCCCGGGACCACGCTGCCATTGGGGACGGGTGCATGGACGGGCGACCTAGACAGAGGTGACGAAATGAGGGATGCGAGTCAGCTTTTCCCTCCCCGCGGGACGCACCGGCCGCCGCCTCTCCCTCCATGCCTGGTCCCACAGATCGCTGCGAAGGGACGGGACAGCCTCTCTAACGGCGCACGGGGGATAACGGGCTCTCCAAGGGCGCAACACTGTTGCGGGGCACATGCCAGCCCCGCGGCCTGGACGTTTCCCATGGGGGCCGCCCCAAGGCCGCTCGCAGCACCCGCTCCCCGCCGGGGTCTCGGGCTGTGGTCGACCCCACGCAGACCAGCCGCACCG